ACGAGGTCTGTGTGCATCCGTTCCTATGGTATCAGGGTCTCTGTGCATCCGTTGCCACGGTAACAGGGTCTGTGTGCATCCGTTGCCACGGTAACAGGGTCTGTGTGCATCCGTTGCCACGGTAACGGGGTCTCCCTGCTTGCAGGCTGCCATCCAGGCGGCCGCCGGCGCCAGCGTGGAGCTCAGGAACGTGCTGGACTTCTACAAGCAATGGAAGGAGCTGGGCTGAGGCCGCGTGGGGCCCGGGCTGGTGTGAACCTCTCTGTGCCCCCCCCCTTGGAACGTGCAGCGTCTGAACCAAGGCTCCCGACCTCCAGGCTTGGACCCGAAGCAGCAGCAGCGGCGGCGGCGGCGGCGGCAGCAGTGGCAGCATCAGCACCATCAACCAAACCTCTCCCCCAAAGGCAGCCCCCAAAGCCAATGGGGGGGCTCCGGCCTCCAGGCAGGCGGCTCCGAACGAGAGCCAAGGAGAGCTCTGCCCTGCTTCCCAATGGGCAGGGATGGGGCAGAGCTGGGCAGGCCTTGAACACACCCCACATCCCCCCCACACCCCACACCCCCCCCCCCACACCTCATCTTTTGGGAGCCATCCTGCAGCTTTGCTTGAGGTGGTGCTGAGGCCGTTCCCTAGGGAGGGTCCTGGGGTGCTCAGCTCTCACATGGCACCGAACACTGGGAGCGGAGGGGCTCAACGGGCACCAATCCTGCTCGAGCTCCGCTGGAGCTGAGTGTTCCCTCTGGGATCTCTCCATCAGGAACCTCTAGAAAATCCTTAAGCTCCTCAAGCCTGGACTGGAGCTCCAAGCCCCCGAAGCAGCTTGGGGAAAGGGGATGCTGAGAGTGGTGGAGCCCTTGGGGCCAGGGAAGCAGAAAGTCCTTTCTTTCCCTTCTTTTCCTTTTCTTCCCTTTTCCTTTTTCCTTTTTCCTTTTTCCTTTTCCTTTTTCCTTTCCTTTTTCCTTTTCCTTTTTCCTTTTCCTTTTTCCTTTTCCTTTTTTTTCCTTTTCCTTTTCCTTTTTCCTTTTCCTTTTTCCTTTTCCTTTTTCCTTTTCCTTTTTCCTTTTCCTTTTTCCTTTTCCTTTTTCCTTTCCTTTTCCTTTTTCCTTTTCCTTTTCCTTTTCCTTTTTCCTTTTCCTTTTCCTTTTTCCTTTTTCCTTTTCCTTTTTCCTTTTCCTTTTTCCTTTCCTTTTTCCTTTTCCTTTTTCCTTTTCCTTTTTCCTTTTCCTTTTTCCTTTTCCTTTTTCCTTTTTCTTTTTCCTTTTCCTTTTTCCTTTTCCTTTTTCCTTTTCCTTTTCCTTTTTCCTTTTCCTTTTTCCTTTTCCTTTTTCCTTTTTCCTTTTCCTTTTCCTTTTTCCTTTTTCCTTTTCCTTTTTCCTTTTCCTTTTTCCTTTTCCTTTTTCCTTTTCCTTTTTCCTTTTTCCTTTTCCTTTTTCCTTTTCCTTTTTCCTTTTCCTTTTTCCTTTTTCCTTTCCTTTTTCCTTTTTCCTTTTCCCTTTTTCTTTTTCCCTTTTTCCTTTTCCTTTTCCTTTTTCCTTTTCCTTTTTCCTTTTCCTTTTTCCTTTTCCTTTTTCCTTTTCCTTTTTCCTTTTTCCTTTCCCTTTTTCCTTTTCCTTTTTCCTTTTCCTTTTTTCTTTTCCTTTTTCCTTTTCCTTTTTCCTTTCCCTTTTCTCTTTCCCTTTTTCCTTTCCCTTTCCTCCCTCCTCCTGTGGATCCCTTCGTTTTCAAGGGCTTTTCCCCTTTTAATCCTTAGGGGGTTTCTTTGCCAATGTAGAAACGAGCTTAAAGGAGCAGCCCCCCCTCGGAATTCCTTTGGGATCTGGCTCCTCTTCCACGGCAGAGAGCAAAGGCAAGGATGATGCTCTGGAACAGCTTGTTGGCTTGGAAGCAGTGTATTTATTACCCTTTCCCAGTGTCCCCCCCCAGCCTCCCCGCGGGCTCAGTGCAAAGGGATGCTTCCTGCAAGGAAAGGGAGCGCATCCTGGCCAGAGGGGAGGAAGACTCCGCTCCTGCTTCCCCCTTTCCCAGCTCTTCGCTTCCAGCGCTGGGGAATTGCAGCGGAGCCGCCGGCGGGGGGAAGATCCCGGTGGGATTTGTCTCCCAAGGAGCCCGACGCAGCCTCTCTTCGCCCGTTTTCCATGGGGTTTTTCCCCTTGCCACCAGGGGTTTCTGGAGGAGGAAGGAGCCCGAAGCCGTTCCCTGCTGCTAGAAAGAGGGGGCAGAACTGGGGTGTCCCGTCCCCCCCCCACCCCTCTCCTTGCATCCCTCCGGGGCAGGCAGAGGCAGACACGACCCCTTTGGTGCTTCCAGCATCCCCAAGGGAAGGGCTCGGTGCTGCCGTGGGATGGATGCTGGAAGAGCTCATTCCCTGTGGGAAGGGACCTTGGAGACCTCCATCCGGATGGCGGCGCGGGCAGCCCGGCTCTCCCCTCCTGCCCCACCACCGGGCTTGGGGATGAAGGAATGGGTTGCTCCCATTGGCCTCCCTACAGCTCATCTGGATCAGTGTGCTTCGGAAGGAGATGATGCTCCAGAAGGGGATGCTCCCAAAGGAGATGATGCTCCCGAAGGAGATGCTCCCGAAGGAGACGCTCCAGAAGGAGATGATGCTCCAGAAGAGATGATGCTCTGAAAGGAGATGCTCCAGGAGATGCTCCCAAAGGAGATGCTCCCAAAGGAGATGATGCTCCAGGAGATGCTCCCAAAGGAGATGCTCCCAAAGGAGATGATGCTCCTGAAGGAGATGCTCCGGAAGGAGATGATGCTCCAGAAGGAGATGATGCTCCAGAAGGAGATGCTCCCAAAGGAGATGCTCCAGAAGGAGATGCTCTGGAAGGAGATGATGCTCCAGAAGGAGATGATGCTCCAGAAGGAGATGATGCTCCAGAAGGAGATGATGCTCCCAAAGGAGATGCTCCAGAAGGAGATGCTCTGGAAGGAGATGATGCTCCAGAAGGAGATGATGCTCCAGAAGGAGATGATGCTCCCAAAGGAGATGCTCCAGAAGGAGATGATGCTCCAGAAGGAGATGATGCTCCCAAAGGAGATGCTCCAGAAGGAGATGCTCTGGAAGGAGATGATGCTCCGGAAGGAGATGATGCTCCCAAAGGAGATGCTCCAGAAGGAGATGCTCTGGAAGGAGATGATGCTCCGGAAGGAGATGATGCTCCAGAAGGAGATGCTCCAGAAGGAGATGATGCTCCAGAAGGAGATGCTCCCAAAGGAGATGCTCCGGAAGGAGATGCTCCCAAAGGAGATGCTCCGGAAGGAGATGCTCCCAAAGGAGATGCTCCAGAAGGAGATGCTCTGGAAGGAGATGATGCTCCCAAAGGAGATGCTCCAGAAGATGCCTCCTCCATCCCCATGGACTCAGCAGCTATGCAAGTACCAAACCACTCCCTCTTCTCCATCTCCTCCCATGGGCCCAGGCCAGAAGCTGCTACATAAAACGGGGGGGCCCTAAGGCCCCGAGTGACCCTGGAGACTTCCCAGCATGGACCAGGCTGTTCCTGGGGATCAGGTAAAGCCCCCAAACCAGCACAAATCCCAGCGGATTCCTTCATTCCCAATCCCTTTCGCCGCATGCAGCCTTGTAGCACAGCAGGAACCTGCAAGCTCCATCCCTTAAGGGGAGGGGGGGGACCTCGAACCAGGGTTTCGCTCCTCCTGAGCCTCATGGTGCTTTCCTTAGGCTAAGCCAAGGACCCAGCACTAAAGAGCAGGATGCGGCCCCTGGTTCTCCTCTTGGAGGTCCAAGCTGGGCTCCCGGAGCTCCACTTGCTCTTGGTTGTGGGGCTGGTCCAGCGCTTTTCCCCCCCCACAACCACCACCACACTGCGGGGATGGGGATGCACAAAGGGAGCCGCATCCTTTGGGTCCCAAAGCAGCGGCGCTGAGGTGGGGTTTGTGCTTCTTGGCTTGCAAAGCACCACAGTGGGTCCTGGGGAGGGTTCAGGGCACAGCTTAGGGGGTGCTGAGGCCTCGCTCCCCCTTTGGTGCTGGTTGGACTTAGGGGCCGAGCACCTCACCCTTCTCCCAGCCTTGTCTGGGGGTGCCTTGCACTGGGCTTGGTTCCTCCTTGAGCACCCTGGGGCTGGCTTGGAGCCCAAGGGTGCTGAGCCCAGCGCAGGATCTGTGCACAGGGCAAAGGGGAGCGCGGGGGCTCTCAGAGCAGGGGTTGGCTGTGCCCCCCCCCCCGACCTTGGGTAGCTTAATAAAGGCCAGGATGTTTGTAGCCCCTGTCCTGAGCTCCTGTGGGGCTGGGAGGGATGGATGGATGGAGGGATGGATACAGAGGGATGGATACAGAGGGATGAAGGATGGATAATGGATGGAGGGATGGGGTTGCATCAGTGGGGATGGAATCATGGGGATGGAGCCCATGGGGATGGAGCCATGGGTATAGATCACTGGGGATGGAACCATAGGGATGGAGCCAGTGGGGATGAATCACTGGGGACGGAGCCATTGAGATAGAGCCATGGGGATGGATCAATGGGGATGGAGACATGGGGATGGAGCTGATGGGGATGGATCAGTGGGGATGGAGCCAATGAAGATGGAGCTGATGGGGATGGATCAATGGGGATGGGGCCATGGGGATAGATCAATGGGGATGGATCAGCGGGGATGGAACTGATGGGGATGGATCAGTGGGGATGGAGCCATGGGGATGGAGCCAATGAAGATGGAACTGATGGGGATGGATCAATGGGGATGGGGCCATGGGGATGGAGCTGATGAGGATGGATCAATGGGGATGGAGCCATGGGGATGGATCAGTGGGGATGGAGCCATGGGGATGGAGCCAATGAAGATGGAACTGATGGGGATGGATCGATGGGGATGGAGCAATGGGGATGGATCAGCGGGGATGGATGAGGCAGACGCTCCCGACACCGTTTTGTGCGTTTATTTCCATCCCGTTACCAGACACGGGCTGAAACCGGAGCTGTTGGGCGGGGGGAGGTAATGCTGGTGCTGGGAGCCCTATGGGGCGCTGTGGGGCGCTGTGGGGCTCAGGCGAGGCCGTAGTACCGCCGGTACGCCTCCTGGAAGCCGATGAGGTCGGCGAGTTCATCGCAGGCGGGGTTGAACTCGCAAACCTCCCGCTTGGCCTCCAGCGGGTCCCGCACGGCCCCATAGGCACTGCTGGGGGCACAAGGGGGAGGTTATGGGGGGGAACCTGCAGCAGGGACCCCCCCCCCCTCCCCAGCCATAGGGGTGGATGCAGTGGGGACCCCCCCCCGGTACCTGTCATAGGCGTAATTCCTCTTGTGCCTCCGCATCTCGGTGCTGGCGCGTTTGGACACAAAGGCTGCGGGGACAGAGCAGGGCTGGGGGGGGGGCAGGATGGGGACCCCCCCCTCATCCATCCCCATCCCTATCTCTATCCCCATCCCTCTCCCCATCCCTATTCCTATCTCTATCCCTATCTCTATCTCTATCCCCATCCCTCTCCCAATCCCATTCCTATCTCTATCCCCATCCCTATCTCTATCCCCATCCCTATCCCCATCTATCCCCATCCCCATCTATCCCCATCCCTCTCCCCATCTATCACCATCCCTATCCCTATCTCTATCCCCATTCCCTATTCCCATCCCCATCCCCATAGGGGTGCATGCAGCTGCTCACCTTTGGAGCTCAGGGAGTCGGTGCTGACAGAGCCCTCCGGAGCTGGGGATGGAGCAGAGGGGTCAGAGCAGCCCCATTCCCTCTGGAATCACATCCCTGACCCCCCCCCCCCCCACCAGAGGGATGTGGGGCTGTGGGAGCAGCTCCCATAGGAGCCAGGCTGGAGAAGGGAAAGGGAGCCCTTGGAGCAGGCTCCAGGAACCATGGAAAGGGGCTTGGGATGCAGGGATAGGAGAAGGGGAAGGGAGCTGGGATGCTCCTTACCCCCCCCGTTACCTGTGCGGCAGAGGCCAAGGGCCAGGAGGGCCAGGAGGGGCAGCAGGAGCAGGAGCCTCATGGTGCCTCCGTGCCGGATCTGCCCTCGCTGCCCTGCTCCTGCAGCACCTTTATAGGGCCCAGGAGCCCGGCCCTGGGTATTTCCAGCACATCCGGGCCCAGCCCAAGCAGCAATTGTGGTTTGGGATGAACCCGGTCCCTCCGGAACGGGCCGAGCCCGCAGGGAGGGGATGGAGCGGGGCCGGAGCTCTCCGCATCCATCCTGCTCTCCGTGGGAGCCCGGGGCGCTCAGGGCACCTCCAATGGATCCCAATGGAGGAGGGAAGGGGCTGGAGCAGAGCCCGGCTCCACCAAAGCCCTTAAGTACAGAGCACGGGAGCCAAGCGGCGGCAGCGGGAGCGCATCCCGAGGGAACGGCGGCTCCCGTTGGGGGGAAGCATCCGTGCCAGAGCAGGGAACGGTGCCCACGTCAAGCAGGGTCCTGGACACGGCATGGACACTGCAACAGGGAACGGTGCCCACGTCAAGCAGGGTCCTGGACACGGCATGGACACTGCAACACGGTGGAGATGGGGAGGGGGGGGAGCATCCCATGGGAGCTTTATTCCAAACACCATTCCGGGGGTTCCAGCTCCTGGCTCCCCATCAGAGGCCCTCAGTTCATGTGTAAGGAGCCAGAACCACGCTTCCCCCCGCCCCACAACCCCCGGGCTTCACCTCCCTGCAGGGCCCAGAGCAGGAAACTGCCCCCCCCCCCTCCGGTTCCCAAAGGCTCTCCCGGGTGATTCCTTGGCTCCGATCCCTCCGGGATGGGGCCCAAGCTCCAGGGCATCCCCGTGGCCTCACCGCGGCTCCTGCAGGCTCAGGACCAGCTCTTGCTGCTCTTCATTGAGCGCCTGGGAGAGGGGAAGGAGGAGTCAGGCTCCCAGGGAGGCCCCATGCGGGGGCCGGAGCTGCCTCCCTCCCCTCCCCTCCCGGGGCTCTCCGTTACCTGCCAGCCCCGGCTGTGGGCCTGGAGCCGCTGCTGCAGGTCCCGGATGCGGCCCCTTCCCTGCAGCACGGCCGCGGCCGCGCTCCTGTTCCCCTCCTGCTGCGAGCGGAGGGCGCGGAGCAGGCGGGAGCGGTGCTGGAGGAGGACGGGACCAGGGCGCTGCGGGAGTCGTCCTCAGGGACCCCAGTGGGCGGCCTGCGGGGGGGAAAGGGGGGGGAAGGGGGGGGAGGGGAAAGGGGGGGGTAAAGGGGGGGAGGGTAAAGGGGGGTGTAAAGGGGGGGGAGGGTAAAGGGGGGGTAAAGGGGGGGAGGGTAAAGGGGGGCAGGGCAAAGGGGGGGGAGGGTAAAGGGGGGGTAAAGGGGGGGGAGGGTAAAGGGGGGCAGGGCAAAGGGCGGGAGGGTAAAGGGGGGGGAAGGTAAAGGGGGGGTAAAGGGCAGGGAGGGCAAAGAGGGGGAGGGTAAAGGGGGAGAGGGTAAAGGGGGGGGAGAGTAAAGGAGGGGAGGGTAAAGGGGGGGGTAAAGGGGGGGAGGGCAAAGGGGGGGGCAAAAGGGGGGAGGGCAAAGGGGGGGAGGGTAAAGGGGGAGGAGGGGTAAAGGGGGAGGAGGGTAAAGGGGGGGGAGGGCAAAGGGGGGGGAGGGCAAAGGGGGGAGCAAAAGGGGGAGGGCAAAGGGGGGAGGGTAAAGGGGGGAGGAGGGTAAAGGGGGGGAGGGCAAAGGGGGGTGGCAGTGGGTAAAGGGGGATGCAAAGTGGATAAAGGGAGATGGGGATAAAGGGGGATGTGATAAAGGGGGATGGGGATAAAGGGGGATTGGAGTGGATAAAGGGGGATGCAGAGTGAATAAAGGGGGATGTGGATAAAGGGGGATGCAGAGTGAATAAAGGGGGATGTGGATAAAGGGGGATGCAGAGTGAATAAAGGGGGATGTGGATAAAGGGGGATGCAGAGTGAATAAATGGGGATGTGGATAAAGAGGGATGCAGAGTGAATAAAGGGGGATGTGGATAAAGGGGATGCAGAGTGAATAAAGGGGATGTGGATAAAGGGGGATGCAGAGGGGGCAGAGAGCAAGGCCCTGGCATGGGAATTGGTGCTGTGCACCCCACAGCAGCTCCGGCTCCGTTCTCCACTGCTGGCTCCGGGCAATGGGAGCCACGGGAGGAGCAGTGGGAGGCGAGGAGCTGGGCTATGGGGGCTTTGGGGTCTCTGCCAGCAATGGGAAGGCCCAAATGGAGCACAAGCTCCTAGAGGGGAACACAGGCTCCTATAGGGGGGCACAAGCTCCTATAGGGCAGCACGGGCTCCCATACGGTATAAGCTCCTATAGGGCAGCACGGGCTCCTATAGGGCAGCACAAGCTCCCATAGGGCATAAGCGCCTATAGGGCAGCACGGGCTCCCATAGGGCAGCACGGGCTCCTATAGGGCAGCACGGGCTCCTATAGGGCAGCACGGGCTCCCATAGGGCAGCACGGGCTCCCATAGGGCATAAGCTCCTATAGGGCAGCACGGGCTGCTATAGTGGGGCACAAGCTCCTAGAGAGGAACACAGGCTCCTATAGGGGCACACAGGCTCCTACAGTGGGGCACAAGCTCCCATAGGGCAGCACGGGCTCCCCTAGCCCCCCTTCCCCTCGGGCCGGGCCGTACCACGCAGGCTCCTCCTGGCTCTTTCCGTCCTCCACGATCTTATCGAGGGAGTCGAGGACCGCCTTCAGGTTCCCTTCCTCCATCACCTCCTGGATCTCCGCCTGCAAACGGGGATCCCGATCCCAACCCCGGCCCCGGGGGTTAACGCCAGGCCCCGTGGACCGGCCCGGACACAACCCCCCCCCCCTCACCCCGTGCCCGTTCCCCCTCACCCTGATGGAGGCCCGGAGCTGGATCACGAACTGGTTGTGGATGCTCTTGGCCAGCTCCGGTTGGAGCTTGGAGAAGCCGCGGTAGCAGCTGGCGAAGCGCTGGTAGCTGCAACCGGAGGAGAAGGGGGGGGGGGGGGGGGACACGAACGGACGGGAACGGGGCCGGGCACTGAGGGGGCCTCCATGCAGAGCCCCGGTCCCCGCCTCAGCCCCGGTTCCCCCCCCCCCTCACCTCCCGGCCGCCAGCAGCTTCTCGAGGAAGGCGTCCACCACGGTGCTGAAGAGCTCCGCGCGGCCTGGCCCCGGGGGAAGCGCCGCCATCCCCTCGGCTATCGCCTCCGCTACCGCCGCCATCCA